GGTGCAGTTCACAGTCAAGTGTTATTTAATTCTACTTGAGCAAGTTATAATTCACATCTGTCAGAGAGGAACAAACAACACTCGGCTGTGGGCACTTTTTTTTACAATTCAACAGCTCCACCTCAAATAATCATTTCACCAATGTCTACGTCACTGGTGCACAAGTTCTAAGAAACTTTGCCACTTCTGTTTTCATGTTTCAAAAATATACTGCAAGTGTGAGGACAAAGAACAACAACACCATGTAGATGCAGTCTGCTATTCATAGCTGGCTTTACAGGAAAAAAAGGTGTTTGCAGAATAAAGAGAACTAAGTGTTTGGTATTATTGTCATGCTGAAAAATCAAGCTGTTAGCAGTCACATGCTTTCCAGATGGAGCAGCAAAATCTGATAGATGGAAATATGATCACAGAAAAGTACTATTTTGACCAGGTCTACAAGACCACTGGCTGGAGATCAGCCCCAAACCATGACAGAGCCCCCATCTTGCTTTGCAGATGTCAGTAGGCACTCACTGTTTACTTTACCTCCTTTGTGCATACTGATGACGCTTTCAACCAGAAACATTAAATGTGAATTCATCTGAAGAACAGTTGCTCAAGACCAGTATAAAAAGAACATGCTTTACAAGAAATTCTGGCAGCTTAGAATCAAAATATAAAGCAATCACGTGCGGTTTTTTTTTTATCTCTGTAATTCTTCTTGTGTTTTTCTTACTTATATCCCTTATATGGTCTTAGAGTAGAGAAGTGAGGGTTTAAGCTGCTGCCATGTGTAACTGCTTAGTCATTGGTCTTGTATGATAATGCGGAGCATGTGTTTAGACTTAGGCATCAATGACATACAGTTGTTTCCTCTTTTGGTCTTTTCTTTTGATGTGATCCTTAGATGTAATAAAACTCAAGTCGTTCTTAGAGGCTTGGGCAGATGGCCTCAGATGACTACAGAACACTGTGGTATACAACAGTTCAATAGTTACAATGTGCTCAGGTCGTGTTGGAAAACAGCTTGAAAGTAATAATACAACTAGCATCGCTGCTTCAATTCTTAATTGAATTCTTTAATTGTTAATAAAGCAAAAAGAAATTAAATGAAATCAAAAAGACATGCAGGGCAATAAACAGGAACATACCAGCTTACGAGTCCTGTGACTCCTGACGCTTCAACTGCTCCAACATTTCTTACAATTATTTTGCGATCAAATAATAAATCATTTTAACAGCATAAAAGAAGCAAGCTGAATCTGAAAGGCATCAAAAATCACATTTCAAATTATTTGAATTATTTTACATGTTAAGCAAACAAATAGAAGTTTTTAAAGTCATTTTCATTGAATATGTGTGAAAATAGAAGTTGATCACATTGAAGACATTTTATACTCTTAAACATTTCTAAAGGCTTTCAGATAGATCTGATGAGGAATGTAACTCCTTTTTGAATAGCTTTTCTTCCCAACATTTTTTTTGGGAAAATACAAACAAAACACTTTCAATTTGAATGTTTTTTTCCATTTCTTAAAAAGCACTCTTGTAGTGCACAGGGTAACCTCCCTTACAGCTGACTTCTATACGTTTTTTAAATTGATGCTTGCCGTTGTATCTACAGGGAGGTGTCTTTTCTGTCTTACTTATTAGTTCACAGTCAATAATTCCAAACTGTGACTTACTGCGTACATCACCATCTGGCCTATTATTACAAATAGATTTGACTGTTTCGCTATCGCTAAGAATGAACGTATTCTTCTCCTTACATTGTTTATTCTTGTCTAAGATATTCCTAGTCAATATTTCACTATCACACTGGTCCTCAGTCATCCTGTCATTTATGTGCTGTGTTTTAAACAGTTCGTAAAGACGTTTAGTCTCCTCTTCTGGTTGTGGTTCAGCTTTCTTTTTGTTTTGTTTTGAACCTTTGGTTGCTTTTGAAGGTGTAGTGGCAATGAGCAGCACAAGCATCAAACAGGCAAACAGGATCCTCATTATTTCCTGCAGAAGAGAGAACATATAACATATTTTTCAATTTAAGCATTTATTTATTTATTTTTATTATTTTATTGCTACATTTACATTCTAACAGTTGTGCTTCGGTGGTTTTAAAGTGGGTTTTTTTGCATATTATACTTTGTGTTAAAATTATACCTATCATACTTAATTGTATAGTGTTTTATTTGTATTGGTTCTACGTATTAGAATAGTACTATCCTTGTGTTTGTTGTCAAGCAGAGGGAGGGAGAGGATCAGGACCTGATCATTATTTTGCCTACACGTATCTCTGTTGTACTAATTACCCCATTTGTTTTAATATTTTAATAATAACAGTGTTATTGTAAAGCTGAGATGAATGCTAATATCAGATTTTTAAGACTTGATGAGAGGCAGTAATATCAGCACTTCTTACCTGTGGCACATGTGAATTACTGACTTTCTGACTGAGTGTGAGACAATGAATATTCAGTCTAAATGATGGGAATTTCTTACACATATGCAGAAGCATCCTTTTAAAATCTAAGGCCAATTTATAACAGTGTCTAAGAAATATAATATTTTATTGTCTTGATCTGATCTGTTCAGATTTGATATATACCAGTTTTTAAATTGTGTTGATAACTCAATTCAATTCAAATTTATTTATATAGCGCCGAATCACAACAGCAGTCGCCTGTTGTGAGCTTTGTGCTCATAAAGAAGGATCGTTTCATTAAGAAAAACCAGGAGGTCTTGTTAATGTCTTGTTGTGGCACTCAACATCAGTTTGGTTTTGAGGTTTCACATACAAACTGAAGGCTTGAAATGTTTACATTACCCAATAAAACAATCCCAAGAACAACACAGATTGACAAGAAATTTAACTCTCTTTAATGTACATCAGGGATGTCATACTTGGTTGATATTGTGGGCCGTATACAGCTGGCTTTGATCTTAAGTGGGCCCGATCAGTGAAAACCCCATTTTCTGTCAGAGTAAAGAAGTTGAGCTACACATTTAATCTGCAAGATATCATAATATCAGAAAAATACATTTCAGCAGTGTGTCTCTGATTTTCCACATGGCAAAGAAATGCGGCCAAAGGAAATGAAAGAAACGTCAGCATGACTCTTTGGGTTTAAATTGTAAAAAGTTGATAGTCTGATAGTTTATTGGCCAGACTGCCTCGTAAGTATAAAATTCATCAGATGAAAATTGAATTCATTTTTTTGAGGACCAATTGTTAAAAAAAAAGTATCTATATACAATAGTGTTTTTGTGTTATGTAACTGTTTATCTATTGCTAAATTACTTTGGTGTTATCTGAATGGCCGTGGGGTCGGTCTTTATCACCAAGAAAACCTTAAAATACATTTGAAACTTTGCAAAGCTATTCAGTGGGCCAAATTTGAGTCTTTTCTGGGCTGATTGTGGCCCCAGGCCTTGACATCCCTGATATAAATGCTCTGCTGCTCCGAAAGGACTGGTATTTCTTTACATATGTTTTGGATAAGCATGTAGTAACAAAGACATACTGCACCTCTCTGAAAAAAATAAAACAGATCCCACTTCCTGCATTAAAAGACATCCAGGACCTCATTCTCGCTCTTGTTGCATGCATCTATTAGATTTGTCATTTGTGGCACTTGTAAGTAAACTTTTCCCATGTTAGGACTTTTACCTTATTGTTTGCTTTACTGGGGAGAGGTTGGTTAGTTAACCTGCAGCGGTTCAGGCACGAGCTGGTTGTCTGGAACACCAGGTGGAGCAGATGTCTTCACTAAATGAAATTCACTGAAGCTGGTGAATGGTTACAGGGAATTCATTATAAAAGTGGATGGGCAACATCAATCTAAATGAAAATGTAATCCTTGAGCATAAGTCAATAAACACAGGCCTTACCAAATGTGGAGTGAAGACTTGAGATGAGCAGAGGTCACGTCTAGTGTAGCTCAGACACGAAGCAGTGTATAGTTCACTTCTGTCACAGAATCATACTTGTCTCTGAGTGCTTCAGTTTTTATATGTTTGACTATCACCTAATATTACAATGTGAATTTGCATTGACACCCTCTTACGTCACTAATGTAAGTTCTAAGAATTTTCAACCCATCTGTTTGTGGTTGATAAACACAATGCAAATGTGAGAACAAATGACCAGAACACTATACAGATGCGGTTTGGTAAAGCATTATGTTTCTGCATATTTGCAAGTCAAACTGACAGTGTGGTTTGTCTTCTATAAACAAACCAAATTTATCTAGAATTTCATTGGGCAGTAATTGCATTTATGTTTTAGTTCCAAATATTAACTAATCCAGTTGTTGGATTGATGCCATTCTATGGTTCTGTCCTCCTGTAGTGGCTCATCTCCTGGCATCTCCTCCACACACCTCAGGCTGTAATTATGTGCTCTAGATCAGATATTTAAGGTTGTTGCAATTTTACACTGAGGAGCATGATTCTGCAGTTTAATGCAGATCGATGAACCTCTGCCCATCTTTCCTTTGGCAAAATTCTGACTAACTAAGATGTTCCAATCATGTTACTGAGCTGTTGTTAACAAACCCGTTTAGTTGCATATTCAAAACAATTGAACATTTTCTATGAAATAGTAAAATGTCTGAGATCAAAGTTTTCTGTGTCTGCATGATCTGCTAATCATTGCATGGTTTTTAGTTACATCTTAAAGCTTTCCAGATGTTTTGGACTTTGTGGGCTTAATTAATTACAAGGTACAATTTTTGGTTATCATTTAGTTGTCTGTGTGTTTTTTAATTTTAAAATTTTGTGCATTAATAATTAATGCCTGAACAAATATGTCTAAAATCATAGGCAGGCAGACATAGAAAATGATGAACGGATGTTGTTAGCAGAAGAAAAAGTAGTTGTAGGAAATAACTGCATTTCCTTTGTTTGCAGTCAAATTTGTCAGACTATGCTCATGTGGTTCCTATTTGTTCCCTTAAATGGCCATAGAGTAGAAATGAAGCTTTTGCAATGTGCACTGATGTCATACAAGACTAGAGGGGTGTACTATTAACTAGGATTAATGTCTTAGCCAGCTATGTCAAGTTTAAGGTCTGAATTTCCTGTTTAATGAAGGTGAGTTTTGTCCTGACATAACTTAGCTGTTCTGCAACATGTTATCAATTCCATGTTGACTAATACCTTTATATGAGTCAGAGAAATGAAGCTTATGTGTAAGTTCAGCAAGGAAGCTCTTTATTCATTCACTGTTTGCTTTATTATTGAAACAAATAATAAATATATTTGAGTGCTCTGTGTTGTGTTGCCTAGTAAATTTTCTCTAAAATAACTCATGCAGTTAAAAAAAATCAATAAATCTGCATTTTTGCCACCTTAGAAGCATCCTGTCTGAGAGTCAGGTTACAACATTAGTTCATGCATTTTACTTCTAAGCTGCAATGTAGTAACATGTTTTCATTACGTTGTCCTAAAAACTCCCCGAAAAGCCTTCAAAAACTCACATTGCTTTTGTCTTTTGTCCACTAGATGACGAGAAGATGAGCAAAAGTGCGGTGCAGTTCACAGTCAAGTGTTATTTAATTCTACTTGAGCAAGTTATAATTCACATCTGTCAGAGAGGAACAAACAACACTCGGCTGTGGGCACTTTTTTTTACAATTCAACAGCTCCACCTCAAATAATCATTTCACCAATGTCTACGTCACTGGTGCACAAGTTCTAAGAAACTTTGCCACTTCTGTTTTCATGTTTCAAAAATATACTGCAAGTGTGAGGACAAAGAACAACAACAGCATGTAGATGCAGTCTGCTATTCATAGCTGGCTTTACAGGAAAAAAAGGTGTTTGCAGAATAAAGAGAACTAAGTGTTTGGTATTATTGTCATGCTGAAAAATCAAGCTGTTAGCAGTCACATGCTTTCCAGATGGAGCAGCAAAATCTGATAGATGGAAATATGATCACAGAAAAGTACTATTTTGACCAGGTCTACAAGACCACTGGCTGGAGATCAGCCCCAAACCATGACAGAGCCCCCATCTTGCTTTGCAAATTTGCATTCATCATGCCATAAGACCTGTTACCACTGATTTTAGTGATTTTCCCTTCTTTAAGAATGGCTCTTTGACAGACACCTTTCCACTTTCTGATGATGCTTCAGTAACTAGTAAATTGATGAGAGATGCATCTCTTAGATTCTGGGTCTACCCCAGCTGTCATAGGGCGAGAGGCAGGATACACCCTTGACAGGTCGCCAGCCTGTCACAGGGCTGCCATGAATAGCATCAACTGCTATATCTCCACATGCTTTCCATAGTTTGGGAAATAGGTATATGTGTGTGTGGATTTTGGTCATACACTTTCCAACTTCTGGCAGAAAAAAGATTCCTTATAATAGGATTTAGGAATGGAGAATATGGAGGGAGAGAAAAAACTAAAATGCGTGGGTGGACAGTGAACCAGTTACGGACTCTGAAAAACACATAACGTACATAAAGCACATAACGTAAAACACACGTAATACAGACTTGGAGTGGTCACTATTGTGAAGAATAATCAGAGTACGATTACAGTACTGTAATTTATACAGTGATGAGAGTATGCATCAATTGTGGGATTGTATGGGGCTTACTTGCACATAGTTGTATTGCAATTCTTTTACTCTTTCTGAATTACGTTCAAATTGCACCCTGTAGAGCTGGTTTGTCCTCAGATTATTTCTGTGCAAGACACGGTCCAGTGTTGATAAGCTGACCCTATCAATATACCCTATGTTACCCTATATCAATATAACCAATAACCCTATCTCCGGTTCAGGAGACATTCCCCACCACCTTGTGTTGGTGTTGTATTTGCAATACAAATAGTATAGTGTAAAATACTGTGAATAGGCCTACAATGTAGAAATACGAAGGAGGAATACATTTTCCAGACGTGCACAAACTTAACAGTATTTTCACAGTCTCCAGAACAGTCCACAGACAATACTGTGCTACAGTAATCTACACATTGAGTACAGTGAGATTTCTTACCTATTCTCATTTCGGAAAGTGATGATGGATGCTACTGCTCAAATTTGACTGTACTCTTTGCCCAGCCTCCCTCATTGTTAGACCACGATTGACCACATGGTCAACCAAAATTGCTGTGATCTCATCTGAGAATACATTCCTTGGCCTTCGTCATCCTCATCGTCTGCATCCTCCTCCTCTTACTCTCACTCCTCTGGCTCTGCCTCTTTTTTCAACGTTGGCATCCATTGACCAAAAACAGAGGAGCTCACCTGCTGCCCTTTTATTTTAAAGCCCTGTGGTTTTAATTGAAATTATGTGTGAAAGGTGTTCACCCATGTAATGAGTTAGTATGCAAAGTTTACAATTTTGAATGACAGTGTGTTTCTTGTGAAAACAAGAAATTTTCTTGTTTTGTCTGGGGGTTTCACGTTCCTGTGGCGGCCCGTTGCTCAGATTTAAAGTTTAATTTTTCACTGTATAAAGACGCTTTCTTCCCACGGAGCTTGTACAGTGGATGCTAATGTTTTTGTCACTTTTCACAGAATAAAACTTAAAGTAACATAAGTACATCCACACTTTAAAGGCTGCATGGTCATACTCTCTCCCGCACTCCATAATATCCATTGTTGATTTACGCACATCTGTTGCTGCCACTGGCATCACACGTGCTTACATCATTGTCATGAGACACTCTCACAAACCAAATTACAACGGTTTAGTAACACAGCGTGCTTGGGGGAAAGTAACAGTAACCTAATTACTTTTTTTGCAGTAGTAATCCCTTATATTAGTCATTACTTGAAAAAAGTAATCAAATTACAGTAACGCATTACTTGTAGCGCATTACTGCCCATCTCTGGTGTCTAAGTACCTGAACAGGAGGTTGAGCTGAAACCTGAGCTGGTGAGGGATGAAGGTTGTAGTGGTGGTTGCTGGTTGCTGTGATGACAGAGGACATGGTGGTTGGACTGATCTTTGAAACAACACTCCTGAGCTTCCAGAACTAAAGGGCAATGGCCGGACTGGCTCACTTGAGCCTCCAGCTGGCATGACAAAGTAGTGGCCTTCAATTGCACACACTGATTGATGAGTACGACAGAAATCTAGTGGGTAGAATGCACACGGACTTGGCTTTGCACAGAAAACTTTATGTACTAACTCTGAGCTGTCTGGCTGAATTATCTTTAAATCTGTCTACTTATGAACTGTGGTCAAAAGGTCCTGGCTCAGAGATGCAGTTGAATGACTAGCTGGTGTGTAATGACAAACATGACCCTACCCCTCGGCAGTCTTTGGAACACGAAACTTAGTCTTGTCATTAGATAGTGAGGAAGTATAACTTAAATGGTCCTTCTGTCTCTTATGATCAGAAATTATCATGACATACTCACACACAGAACAAACCGGCTAGCCAAATGTGATTCAGTCTTAATGCTTGTCAAAATTATTTCACTTGCTTTATTGTTAACAGGCAACAGGGCCTGGGACACAGTCTTTAATAAGGCCCCGGACACCGTAACAGTCTTAAGAAAAGCCATTTCAGTTAATGTCGCTTGTCTAGGGTGTGCAAAATCATACTCAAAGTGTGTATTATCCATGTCCCCCAAAGCCTGATTGTTCATAATTGCAGTATCTAACAGTTCCTTGCATGGTTTAATGCTTAGGAGTGATAGTCTATGGCTGAACTGGCAGCGTCAGCTTCCCACCTCGGGCTCACAAGGTAGCAGCAGTGAAGCCAATTTGCAGGCTGCTGCTGTGGCAACACGGTGTGGACAAATATCTTTAAATTCTCCAGCAATCACTCCCAGTAAACTGGGTAGGCAGACACAATCTGGTTCAGTTTAACTCAAACAGACTCCTTCTCTATCTCTTGTCTGCATGCAGAGAAGATAATTCCCTGCCGTGGAGGGCGGTCAAACGAGCGCTGAACCCAGGAGTCCTCGCAGATGTCCGCTGGGTCCGATATGGTCACTTCGTACTGTCACAGGATGCCGGGGCAGACCGTGTGGAGAGAGTAGAGTACCAAGTGCAGACAGAGGGGAGGAGACAAAACTGAACTTAATGAAAAGAAAGCCTTTATTTGGGGCTGAAAACTCATGAAAATACAACAAGGCTATACTGAGGGAAAATATGAACAGAATCTGAGAAAGTATGACCCTCATTGTGACTTGATATTATGAAACTACACTATGACTTGACTGTTAAACTGTGACGAGGGGTGGATAAGGAAAGACAGAGGACTTAAATATACAAATGGGGAGATCAAGGGAGGTGGAGACACATGAGAAAACAGCTGACTAGAATTAACATAATGACGCCACAGTGGAAGTGTAAACTAAGCACATAGAATATGGAAACAAAACTTTCAAAATAAACAGGAAACATGATGAGACGCAGACATGCCACGAACTTGACAACAAGAACCACAGTGTTAAGTCTAATTGTTGAATGTTGTCATTGTGTTTCTTAAATTTGTAAGGTCTGAGTTCAATCTATAGGATCAAGACATTCCTTTGATCCTGACCACCTCTCCAGCCACTCTGTGCTGGGGGAGGTTTTATTGCAGATACATCCTATTTGAAAGATCTGTTTCTTGTGTTGTAAGCTTCCTGCTTTTATGATCCTTTTGGTGAGCAGGAAGTCATGCATACACACACACACACACACACACACACACGTTCTTGCACATGCATACACACACACATAGTGCCTTGTCTTTGTAACCAAGAGGGGTCTTATGAGGGGAGGTGCGTTTGCTGTGATGTTTATTGTAACAGTTTGTCAATAAATAGCTGCGAGGGAAGCTGCACTTTGAAGGATTTGGGTTTGGAGTCAGGTGAGGAGCATGAGCTCCAAGAGCTGGTTGTGACCCAAAACTTCCCTCGCTAGCGAGTTGATTGTTCTGTTATGTCTTGTTCTTCATGATGAATAAGTCTCTAAACTAGCGGGGATGTGGAAACAAAGTCACAACACACAGAGACATGAAACATGACTTAAAACAACGGAGAAGACACAAAAGGATCCAAAAAACAAAGGACTAGAACAGCAACTAGAAATTAATTAGATAAACTAAACTGAAACTAGAACACAAATTAATAACAAAATACGATTAAACCCAAACACTGAGTCACACGACCCAGTACCGTGACAACTTTGCCTGAGCATAGAGATCGCAAGCAGGCAGAGGATCCCATGTATGTTATCATTTGATATGATGTGAGCTTTCACTGTTTTCCAAGAATGCGTGATTGGTTTCACAGTGAGCAGCATTTTATGAATATGTTTCTTCTGCCATACTCTCTCTTTTTTAACCCTATTGAGGAGTTTTTCTCAGCATGGAGATGGAACCTTCTATCACTGTGCCATTGAGAGCATCCTCACTGGATGCATCACACCTGGTATGGCAACAGCACCGCCTACAACTGCAAAGCTCTCCAGCGAGTAGTGCGGTGCTCTGAACGGATAATTGGAGGTGAACAACCTCAACTGACTCCTTTCGATGTGGAGCAGCAGCGGCTCTACTCTGAGCCCCTCCCGGATGGCCGAACTTCTCACCCTATCTCTAAGGGAGAGGCCAGCCACCCTTCGGAGGAAGCTCATTTCTGCCGCTTG